ATTTGTCTACTTTTGTATTCATATATTTCATAATATTCTTAGATTCAAACTGAATATAATGGAATATATTTTTTATACCTTGATTCAGTTTTTCATATTATTTAATTTAAAATTGAAGAGAAGATTTTATTGTCATTTTAATCTTAAATACTTATAAGTATACAATTTATTACAATATTATTATTTTATAGAGCAACAAGTTGATGATGATGCAAATAATATTGCAGATAATATTGGTAATCATGATTTAATATAAAATTTAAGAGATAATTTTATTGTCATTTTGATCTTAAATATTTATAATATACAAATAATATTGCAGATAATATTGGTAATTATGATTTAATTTAAAATTTAAGAGATGATTTTATTGTCATTTTGATCTTAAATACTTATAAGGATACAATTTATTACATTATTATTATTTTATAGAGCAACATGTAGATGGTGATGATGATGATACAAATAATATTGCAGATCATATTGGTAATCATGTCTACTTTTTTGTTTGTTTTTGTACCTGTAAGCAAAATATAAATTATTTATTTATTGTAGAGCCAGCAGTGCACCAAAATTATGGTGCATAATAGTTTTTCATATTATTTAATTTAAAATTGAAGAGAAGATTTTATTGTCATTTTAATCTTAAATACTTATAAGTATACAATTTATTACAATATTATTATTTTATAGAGCAACAAGTTGATGACGATGCAAATAATATTGCAGATAATATTGGTAATCATGATTTAATATAAAATTTAAGAAATGATTTTATTGTCATTTTGAACTTAAATATTTTAAGTATACAATTTATTACATTATTATTATTTTATAGAGCAACAAGTTGATGGTGATGTTGATACGAATAATATTGCAGATCATATTGGTAATCATGTCTACTTTTTTGTTTGTTTTTGTACCTGTAAGCAAAATATAAATTATTTATTTATTGAAGAGCCAGCAGTGCACCAAAATTATGGTTATGAATCGCCTCCTCCATTTTTCCAGCAGGTACTTCTAAACCATAATCTGTCTTTGATGTCACCCTTACCAGTTACCGCTATATGAACCACAGTATTTTGGACAAGGTAAGATACTGAACTTAGTATAATACTTTATAATCTATGATTAATATATATTTTACACACATGTAGCTTTTGTTTTAAAAATTTAATACTTATTCACAAAACAATTATCAGCCCGTTTGTCAGTACTTTTTTTTTTTAATATTCACTAGAATAGTTATGCATACATTGAGTATTGACTGAAGTTTAATAAAATATATTTGGCTATATCCAGTCTTTGTTATATTTGTAAATTGTATGATTTATTTGAATGATTGTTGGGAAATGGTAATCATTATATAAGTTAATAATTCCTTAAGATTGCTATTGAAGATAATTATTATAGTTTTTTTGAATTTTTATGCATGTCCTAAGTAAATTATTTATTTTAGAACCAATAGGAACCAAAAACGATGGTGATATGCCGATTGTTTATGTCGGGAGACAGAATGAAGAAGGTAATAAATAACCTCTTAAAATATTTATTTAACAATGTGTAATATACTAATATTCATTTTTTAATATAGGACTAGCTTTGAAACTATAAACCTACCAAACATTAATTTTAATAATGTTTACTCAAAAAGCATGGTAGACACTATAGTAATTTAAAGAAACACAATCTAAATAATGTTGATTAGAGTAGTTGTGGATTGTCTTCTGATTTCACAATATTTATTTAATATTTCCATACTATCTATTTATTCATTTTTCAATTATTTTCAATTTAGAGTAGAGCTATTAATGTATTAATTTTACTAGGTAGTGTATGTATTGTGTATACACAATTTAAAGTAGAAAATAAATTTCAACTTAAGTATATTTTCTGATAGGAATCTAGCTGGTACTCCTGGGAGGACAAAATTCTAGTACTTTTCTCAATAATTGGGGAAAACAAAAATAAATTATTAAAAACAAGTTTTATATTTTAGATGGATTTTTTTTTTTTTTAATTTTCATTTAACTGTTGATAAAATTTTTTTTACTCAGTTAGACAACTTGAAACTCCTACGTATTTATTGTATTTGTTTAATTGAATGATATACTCTTTTCAGAATAAGAAGGAACCAGGCGGCCACGGACAAAACCGGTTTTGTTACGTAAATCTGGTGCGTTCTTATTCTGAAAAGAGTATAGTTGGGAATTGGTAAACATTATAAGTTAAAATTCTTTTAGAATTTTAGATTGCTATTGAAGATAAGTATTATTGTTTTTTTTTTGTCTTTTTATACATGAACTAAATAAATTATTTATTTTAGAACCAGTAAGGATAGAAAATTATGACAATTTATCAATTAATGTTCACTTCAGGAGACCGAATGAAGAAGGTTAACCTCTTAAAATATTTATTTATCAATGTGAAAATGTGTGACAATAGTTATTTAATATCTTTATACTATCTCTTTATTTTAAATTCTGAGTGGAGCTAGAGAATATTTAAATAAAACAAATTATATGTTCACATTTTCACACACACACACACACACACATCAATCAATAATTTTAATATGCACTTAATATACTACAGTTTATGACTGTATCGATATTATAAATTATCTTACTTTTACTTTACAGTTGAAAATATGAGAGAAATCATTGTCTGCGTCACATGTTTGAACGAGGAATGTGGTATTACGGCCATGTAACCATACATGTTTATGTGGTGCATGCTATGAAGGGTTAACTAGATTGGTTTGCCCACTATGCCGAGAACCTATAAGAGAGATTGTTGTATTTTTAAGTTAATTTCCAAATGAATTTTGTTTTATTTTATTTAAATAAATAATACTTTTGTGACAGTAAAACATTTTTATTCTTTAAATGATGCACATTTCAAACTTTAATAGTGCAATAACATTAGTTGATGACTTTGATTATAAGAAATACAATATTTTAATATATATATATATATTTTTTTTTGAGCCAAGTACACATATTTTGACTTTTCCCCAATTTTTTATAAGCTTTTCGTTGTCATGATTACTATTTTTACCAAAAACATTAATGATTCACACATTATCCTTGGAGACTTGGAGTGTAAATATATTGTGTGGTTTACCACGTAACCGTAATCTTAACCTTTTTTTCAAATAGGGTGATTGTAAATTACTATTACCTATTTGTATGTACTAATGTTATTAATTATTATATACATAAATAGTTTTTGACTATTAATTTCTGTTAAAAAAATGAGGCATAGGTAACTAAAGTGACTGACTTGAAAAATATAATAATTATAATTTATATGAGTTCAAAGTTCTATATATATATATATCTGTATTTGATTTTTTACGGGATGTGGCTCCTTCTAATGGTTATAATTTATAAATTTTAATTAATGAACATTTTAAGCCACTAACAAAAATAATGTAAATGTTAACAAGATGTCAAGATCATATACATTGTTGTAAACAATAATTATAATAGTATCTTTGTAACTAATTGATAAAATAAAAATAAATAAATAAATAAACAAATACATATTGCACATTACCCATATAATATATTATTATTATAAAACCTATTATAACAATATATTGTAATAAACATTAATCATTAAAACTAATTTAACAACAATTTAATAATATAAATTATTTTTCTATTACAGTAGTAACCAATAGGTTATAGGTGCCATACTATATAACCACTGGTATGCTAGTAAGAAGGAATTTATGATCAATAGGGAAGCAAAGCTTTGACCTCGTGGGCTATGGATTTGATTGTTTTACTATTTTATTCATTACTTATCACAACACTCAATTCATGTCAGATTTTAATGAATAAGAAAAAATCTCAAAAATAAAATATATTTAAAGAGTTTATTTCTAAATGACTAAAATATTTGATATTTTAGAACTTGTTGATAGCCAAAGTCTAAATTAGGTACATTTTATGTCTACTTGAAAAGCAACATCCTAAATCATACAAAAAACCTAATTGTATTTCAATGATTTGATTTGTTTGTTTAAATTGAAGGAAAAAGCAAGAAACATACTGAACTATTAAAAATTAGCCATACATAAAAATAGATATGTCATATGAACTATGCATATTGAAAACGTTTAAAAAAAAGTAAAAACAGACTGATACAAATCTGCTAAATAACACGAAATTCTTAATTACGAGGTAGTGGTTTTGAACGTCACTTGGGCGAAACTTTGATATATAAATAATTCCCCACTATGTTACACACTAAGGTTAAATAATACAGAGTATGCCTAGGCTCACAGACACAAATAAATATAAAATAAGAGATTAGGGATAATTATTCAGATATCAGAAATTCAGAATTAATATTAATTTTCTTAAGAATAATATGCAATACCTACCTACTTTAAATAAATACAATAAGCCATATAAGAGTACGTAGGTACATACGTTTTATTAATATAAAAAAGGGTATTATTTTTAGCTTCAAAGTACTTACATATTATAATTATTCAAAATTAACTATTGTATTCTCAAAAGTCAAAAGTGTATAAAACTATAATAGGCATTTGTAATAAATTTACATAAATGAATTATAATTATACAGAGATCGAGTGTAATGTATTTTTTTTTTATAATGTGATAACAGACATCTTATTATCAGGACTTTTAGATCACCGCTCGATAATTTGATCCCGAGACAACTAGATCCACGTTGTTACCATAGGAATGGTTGGGATCTCAATGACCCGGGTCCTATTTGTTCATACACCCTTAGTCCGTGGCCCTGATACTAGTATGTAAAATGTTATCAGCACGGCTATAGATACTATATAGCCGTGGTTATCAGTGTCCATTCTGATTGTTATATTCTGTGGCAGGACGTGAAAACAAAATACTTTCACGTCGGACTTGAAAATAACCACTGCCATAATTAATATAAACATAATATGTCTTATTTTTCAAATTTTAACTTAAAGAAGTAGGAGATTTACATTCTAAATTATGTCAACCGTCAACGAAGAAAAAATTGATGTAGGTAGAACTGAGACATTGGTGTACTCGGTAGAAGTACAAAAAGCAATAGATGAGGTACACTTTGATACAAAATACTCGTACATTTTATCATATTGTATTCAATATTTAAAATAATATTCTTACTTACTGTTAGATACTGCCGAGCGATGATCCACTGGATAAACCAGATTTTGACACAATAGATTACATCAACAATCTGTTTCCTACTGAACAGTCGCTTACTAATATCGATGATGTTATTAATTCACTTGAATGTAAAGTAGACTCCATAGATAATGATATACGATCAGTCATTAGGGGACAAATTGAAGTTAACAAGGTACAATTAATCGTAAAAATATATCGGAACACAAATTAGTATAATCTTTCATATAGGATGGTAAGGCTGAGCTTGAAGAAGCCCAACATTATATAAAACACCTTTTCAGTCAAATTAGAGAGATCAGACAGAAAGCTGAACATAGCGAGGAAGTTGTTAAAGAAATTACATTAGATATTAAACAATTAGACTGTGCCAAAAAGAATCTTACGACTTCTATTACAACATTAAATAATTTGCATATGCTTGTTTCTGGTATCGAGTCGCTCAGGTATGTTAGCCTTTTACTTAGTAAGCCGTAGTAGCCGACGTAAAATCAGGCGTAAGTCAGGCTCTAGCTAATGGCTAGAATAATGTTACTTATATTTGGTGTCTTTTGTTCATCAAATAACATATTTCTCTAGCCAACTTTTGCCTATACCTTGGCATTTTCTTAAGTATTTAAATATTTTATACAATTCAGTAATGCAATTTTCAGTAGTTTTATTGTACTTAAATTGGTTGTCTTAAATTTTCAAGTAACGTTTCTTGTTTTAAGTTTAGGTAAACCAAAACAGTTGAAATTGTAACAAATTTATAGCTGTTTTATATAGTAGGCAACAATTTCCAAAAATATTAATATGAAAATAAGTTATTAATGGTCGCAAAAATATTAAGGCACTCGCTGTATTTTATACTGTACATATCTACCAATTAATATAATTCATTTAATTTAAAATCACAAATCTATACAGAGGTTTAACTACAAAACGTAAATATGGAGAAATTGTGATGCCTCTACAAGGTGTAACTGATGTTATGGAACATTTCAAGAATTACACAGATATACCACACATCGCTCAGTTATCTACTGAAGTAAATATTCAACTATTTTATTTTAAACTAATTTTTATAATTTATCTGCATTCTTTAATAGGTAAAACAACTTCAGAAGTCTTTAGCAATACAAATTATGGCAGATTTTCGTGAAGCTTTTTCTGGACCAAATGCAAAGAATTTTGTACCCAATAGACAAATGACTGAAGCATGTTTAGTTGTTTCAATTTTAGAGCCTAAAGTCAAGTAAGAAATGTATATTATATTTTATATTATGAATGTTTATAAAATGTACACATTTTTATTTCTCAGAGACGAATTGTTAGAATGGTTTATAGATCTACAACTCTCCGAGTATACACATTTATTTGATAGTACAGAAGATGTAGCCTGGTTAGACAAGCTCAACCAAAGATATGCTTGGTTCAAACGTCAACTTTTACAGTGCGAAGAAAAATTTAGGACTATGTTTCCTGTTCAATGGGAGTTATCTGAAAGAATTGCAGTTGAATTTTGTAAAATCACAAAGTATGTAAGCTTTTATTATTTGCAATTTTTCTTAGTTGCTTAGAACCAGAATTTGAATTTCTAGAAATGAGCTTTCTAAACTGATGGTAAAACGAAAAAACGAGATTGATGTTAAGCTTTTATTGTTTGCAATTCAAAAAACAGTTGCATTTGAAAATTTGATGGCAAAAACTTTTAATGGCAATACAATTGTTCAAAATTATGAAAAATCTTTGAGCAATACAAATGTTGGTATTTATATTTTATTGATAGATGGAATTTATAATTTTAAATTTTAAATTTTAGAAACAACCAATAATCAATACTGAAACTGAAGAAATTCTTCAACCATTTTCTGAAGAATTACAAATATCTAATGTGCCAGAAAATATGCCATCGCTTGTACAAAAAAATGAACCAAAACTAAATTCATCACCATTTTATGGTTTGATAAGTGATTGTTTTCAACCATTTCTCTATATTTATATTGACAGTGTAGATAAGTAAGTATTGAATTTAAGTCTATGAATATTAATAAAAAATACATTTTTGGATTTATTAAATTAAATTTGTTTGCTTAAAGAAATTTGTCAGAACTGATTGAGCGTTTTGTAAGTGACAACAAGATAACATTGGCGAAAGAAAATATTGATGATCAAACAGCTACAGTTCTACCAAATTGTGCTGACTTATTTCTATTTTATAAGAAGTCACTAGTGCAATGCACTGAGCTCAGTAATCATAATCCAATGCTTGCATTAGCAACCGTATTTCAGAAATATCTTAAAGAATACGCGACTAAAGTACTAGAAGTTAACCTTCCCAAGTATAAACATTTGTTTTAACTTTAGAATAATCTTAAGTATCATAAATCTTAGTGTTATACTAAGTATAAAACTGTGTAATTTATAGAATAAGTCATCCTGCCACATCTCTAACTACAAATGTTTCAAACATGACCAAAGACCTAATTAAAGATTTACAACTTCTTCCAAGTGGAATGACTGAAGCTAGTGTTAAAAATATAAATTGTACACCACAAGAGTTAGCTAAAATTTGTTGGTAAGGAAACAATACTAAAAATTTAAATTATAAACATAATGCATTAATGTACATACAATATTTATTTAATAAAAATTATATTTTATCAATTTTAAGTATACTAACAACTGCTGATTACTGTATGGAAACAACACAACAGTTAGAAGAAAAATTAAAAGAAAAAATTGACCCTTGCTTAGTTGGAAAAATTTGTATGACCAATGAAAATGATTTATTTCAAAAGTAATATTTTAGTCTACTATAATTCAAAAATATGTATTTCATGTTATGTTATCTTTGTTTCAGTATTATTTTCATGTCTATTAATCTTTTAGTTCAACATTTAGAAGCTGATTTGGAACCTGCATTAAATAATATGACCAAAGTAAAAACCTTGGATTGCTTGGATTTTATAGTTCAATAATTATGTATATTGTTGTTTGTTATTTCCATAATTCTTATAAAAATATCTTTTTCAGGTTCCTTGGCAAAATATTACAGCAGTCGGTGACCAAAGTGAATATGTTACTATCATGACAACACATTTGAGAGGTGTTGTTCCTATTGTACGAACATATTTATCAACATCCAGAAAATATTTTACAAAGTTTTGTATCACTTTTGCTAAGTAAGTTAATAACAACCATGATTATTCTAGCCTTTTTACTTAAGTTACTCAACCTTTTTAACATAGCAACCCCCAAAATAGGTGAAAAATATAATCGGTCGCCACACAATATTTGCACGATTCTATCTATCTGAAAATTGTACCACACAGTGAAATGATAGTAAAAATAGTATAGTAAATTGTGCCCACCCACCATCTTTTGGTTTCTAAAATGGGTTAGCATAGTATATTACGTCCATAGTCTCAGAGTAAGGTACCTTGAATTAATCAATATATATTACAAAATTAAACACTTCTACATTTATTGGTGCAAAAGCTGAACATTGAAATTTATTTTTTATTATTATTTACTCTAAATTTTATCTGAGTTTTGTAGTGAATTTTTTTTTTTAGTAAAACCTAAGTAATTTTGTGAATAAGTTAATTTTGAAAAAAAAAATTAATTTGATACTATACTAATTAAACAATACAACAAATCAAAAACCCATTTCATACATATCCTAGAAAAGGGATTAAGGAATTCAAATATGTTTTCAAAATTAAAATAGGTTTTTGGTACTGGGTGAATTTTTATTCCCCTTTTTGGAACTTTTGTGACACATGGGAGTTGAACATTTTTGATCGCTAAATATAGTGACGTGTGACTGTGCCTATGTATGTTTCGGAACTCCAAAAATCTTAGTCCTAGTTCATTGTTAATTACCTAAAGCGTTCGGGAAACTCACGCACACTAATGATCAGTCACTATACTCACACAGCACTAACGATGGATATAGAATATTTCCTAAATCCGACCCCTGAAAAATGGTTCACTTTTAATATCCTTAACTTTTAATTGTTATCAAGCATAACACTTAATATAAAACAAGCCACAAAAATATATTTCAATTGTGGCACACTGGCACGTGCCCCTCTGGCTACGGCACTGGTAATAAGTAATAATATAAAAAAAAGTAAACCAATAAAATGTTTTAGTATATTATAATAATTGTTTTAACTTTCAGTTCATTCATACCTAAATTTATCCAACACTTGTATAAATGCAAGCCGCTATCAAATATTGGGGCTGAACAATTGTTGTTGGATACACATTCACTCAAAACAATTTTATTAGACTTGCCATCAATGAACCTTGATGACAATCGTAAAGCTCCGGCTAGGTAACATTAATCACAAAAAAATATTCAAGTCTGTAATATTATTTTTGTGTTGTGATTTTATTTTAGTTATACAAAGGTTGTAGTAAAAGGAATGACAAAAGCAGAAATGATATTGAAATTAGTAATGGCTCCAACAATAAAACACTATACATCTTTTGTCGACCAATATTTAAAACTATTACCAGAATCTGATATGACAGAATTTCAAAAAATATTAGAAATGAAGGTTAGTGGTTTTTGATAATTTATTTTGAATATTCTTATTAATTATGATGTTTAGCACAATAAATTATATATAATTCAATTATGTTACAGGGTTTGAAAGCAGCTGAACGAAATGAGCTTTTGAATATTTTTAGACCTAGGAATCCAACTGGAAGTTTTGTTACAAGTACAGCTGCATTGTCTAGTTTGAAACAATATACTAGTCTAATAAAAAAAAATTTGATATCTAATTCTAGCAATAATTAGTCGTTTTATGTTGGAAGAAAATATATTTTTGTACATTCCATGTATATTCCATTGTACAAAATTCAGAAAATATATTATATATAATTTTATTTGAATTTATAAAAATCATATAGATCTTTTAATATGTAATTGTGATTCAAACATTTTGTTTGAATAAATATACATATAAATATTTTGTTTTTATTTTCAACATTGAATATTATTCTTATTTCTCATAAAAAATTAAGTTAACTGCAAGTATAAAACTATATAAGGACTAATTACAAATAGATTGATATATGCATTCACAGAATATGGGACTAGGTCATTGAATTTTAATAACAATTTGCAATTAAATAGTTATGTTATAAAATCCATCCAACTATATGACATAATTAAAACAAGAATATTTTGTAACAAACTATTTAATTGACAAAGGTATGCCTGTAATTATATTTTATACAACTCAATTTAATTTCCTATCTACTGTTAAACATAATCTCTGCTACATTAATTTTTAATGATACCGCATGATTAATATAATTTTTAATTCAATGAATAAGTATTTATATAAATATCCCATTAATCTCAGTTTAACATTATGTGAATTCATTAATTTTCTTGGTACATGGTCAATAATGATGACTGATGAGTTATTTTTCAGCGGTTTTCAAGTCTAGTAAGTTTATTTTTTCGGATATTAATCAAATGCCTTACTGTATATTTGCACTTGCAGTGGCTTTGACAAATTTATGCTCCACATCATTACAAGTACAATTTAAAAAACTAAGTTTTTGGTTATATAATACAAGTAAAGATCTAAATTGAAGTGGTTATAACATAGTTCTAATTGGTGACATATATTTAATACTATTAACTGAAGAAAAAAAGTTTCTATAACCAGTAAATATATATTACTAACAAATAACAATAAATTGATAAAAATAATTATGACATAAGTTGATGAATTCTCCAAAATGTAAAAAAAGACTGCTGTTACAATTATGTTTGTTGTATTAATATTTTATCTTTTAAATTACAAGAAAAATATAATCAATTTAAAAAAATATATTATTCTTAACAGCTGAAAACCTCATAAAGAATTTGTAACAACTAAAACAACAGTATTGTCGACATCACATTACAAATGACCCTTTTCCTTCAACTTGGTAATGAGAGTGTCGACGTCAGGTACAACGGAACCAGCCTGTCTGGTGGGCGGGTCTTCTACGCTCAAAACTTGTTGACGTGGCGCCAAGTCCACTCCAACATCTGCAGCCGTGAGCTTTTTGATGGGCTTCTTCTTCGCCTTCATGATGTTTGGCAACGTGGCATACCGTGGTTCATTGAGCCGCAGGTCGGCACTGATAACTGCTGGCAACTTGACTTTGACTGTCTCCAAGCCACCGTCCACCTCGCGCTTCACCAGCACATTGCCGTCCGCTACGGTCACCTCTGAAGCGAACGTGGCCTGCGGCCAGCCCAATATCGCTGCAGTCATCTGGGCCGTCTGGTTGGAATCGTCGTCGATGGCCTGCTTGCCAACGATGACAATGTCTGCCTTCTCGTCCACCGCGACCCTGGCCAGCATCTTGGACACGTGCAGCGGCAGCAGAGTGTCGTACTGGGCCTGCGGCACCTCGACATGGACGGCACGGTCTGCACCCATCGCGAGAGCGGTGCGCAGCGACTCCTGGGCCTGGGGTATGCCGCATGACACGGCGATCACCTCGGACGCGATCTTCTTCTCCTTAAGGCGGACGGCCTCCTCGACGGCGATCTCGTCGAACGGGTTCAGGCCGTGCTTGACGCCGTCGGTGACGACGCCAGACTTGTCCGGCTTGACGCGGATCTTCACCGCGTAATCGATTACGCGCTTAACGCCGACCAAAACGCGGGCCATGGTTTGCGACGGCGGCGGCTAAACGAGTTAATACGACCTAAGTAGAGATATTACTGGATCGATTGATTGTCGCTTATTGACGACGGCTCTGAAGTCTGAAGTCTGAGTAGTTTGGCCACCGTTTCCAGAAGTTGTTGACGGACGACGAAGAGGAAACGCGCGGTTGGACCAATAGGATACGTCGAAACCGTTTGCTATCAGACGATCTTATCGCGCGAAAGGACCTTAGCGGACGAGCAGCTGCTGCGAGTGCTACCGCGTACAATCCATTAATAGACAATACATTTCGTGGTTCACTTCCTACAAAACGACCTATTGACCGTCAGTCGTCACGTAAATAGTAAATACATTCGTAATCGATTGCAATTTACAGCCTTTGCCCGTGTGATTGGTCATGCCAGTTTTATTCCCCTTCATAAATTATAACATTGATTATTATACTTTTTTACTCAAATATAATATTACTTTAATATCTTGGTCCAATTAATACCCCCCATTGCTACACCCATCATGATATTTTACATTTTTACCCAATTGCTCGACGAATTAAAGACCAGTATAAAAATTCCAAGAACTACGGACTAAAATCCAATATTTATTTTTTAAATGTATGATTACGTGATACGTATGCAGGTAGGTATTATTATTTGTTTTTAATCAATACATGCGTAGATTAATACCATGTGAATTACGATTTATATAAGTTTAATTAACTTAAAATGAATTAAATATATTTTTCCTGATTCCTGACTTAGCAGATAGTAGCCAATGGTCGTGGCCTTGTGCCAGTGTCCTAATATTATGCCCTACTTGAGTTCAAAAACTTCTTCAACAAAAACAATTTTCGAAATATTACTAGGTCAAAAAAATTGAAAACGGTGTTTACGTTCCCCAAAAGTTGAGTGTACATCTACAATATTATTCTAGGAGCGGTTAAATTTAAATTTTATCAAAATTCATCAAAATTACAAAAATTGGCAATTTATTTCTAGTTAGAACTTTTTCAAAATTTTTCTTTTTATACCTAAGCTTTGAAAAGTTAAAAAAATATTACCCTTAAGTTGCCCTAAATTTACTAAAAAAAAAGGATCAGTAAAATTAATTATTTAATTTGAGCATTATTTGAATACATTAAATACCATTGATGTGTATTCACACCCATAAATGAACAAATTCTCATACAACGATTTTATTATTTTGTGGTTATTCAAGAAATAATAACTATAGGCACCTGAAATGTTCATATTATCATTTTGAAACATTTGAAATTCGATTTTTTTTAAAATTTTTTATATTTTAAATGTCAATAAAATTGTCTGATCAAAATGAAAATTGAAAATGTGAAAAATGTAATAGTTCCTTATAAGTGGTTACTAGTTATAAATTATAATAGCAGTTGAGAAACATTTAAGATCCATATGAACGACTTGTTTATAAATACCTATTTAGAGTTAAACTTTTTTTGAGACATTTTTCAAAATCTCGAAAATTTTCAAATTTTGTTGTTAAAAAATTATAAAAATGTTTAATTTTTATCAATTTAAAACAAGGATTCTCATAAATAGTTCATATGGTAACCAACAAATCTAAAAATAAATAAACACATATTTTTTATATACATTTTAAGTTCATATTTTGACAAAATTACATAATAAAACCAAAAATCCGGTTTAGTTGTTTTATTGTAATTTAAAAATATTATTCGAGGGTATATGAAACTTTTAGAGTATATCTATTATTATATTTTATACACACAATGACAGACATTTTCAAATGTAATTTTTTTGGCAAAAAATGAATTTAACCTACTTTTGTACTAATGCCTAATAGTTTTTTTTCTTTATTAATAATATACACAATAAGAGTATGGGCTATACCTATAACACAAAAGGAAGAAAAAACTTGAATGAAGAAGCCACCCACTGATGACACTTTTGTAATGCCTAATAGTAAAATAAATTACTTTAATCACAATAATATTATTAAATATATTTAGTAATACTAGTAATATTGTAGGCTGACAGACCACTTGGACCAGTCTTCACTCAGAATAATATTTCGTATACAATGATTTTATATCATTGTATTCAAATTTTACACATCCATTACAGTGACTCACTAAACTTATGTCTTCAAGTATATTATTTATATCCCAGACGCAATTCCTGTTACTTTTTCACTTACCCTTTTTTTTTAATGGTTCCAGTGGTTTCAACATATTTTTTTTTATCAAAATTAATAATAATAAATTAAAAATGTATCAATACTCTTTGAAGTATGAAACAAATTTTGTACTTGAAAAGCATTGCCGGGAGCTTTCTAAAAAATAATCCATTTTGCATTAAAATGTGGGCCCTATAGTTATAACTTATAAGTATTTAAAGTTTTGTTGGGTGGAGATTATCATAATGTTGGTCTACTACCAAGATGTTCTAAATAGAAGAAATTCTAAAAAAATTGTCAACAATAATTATACCATACCATGTTTATTATTTTGTATCTGCCCGGGGGACATAAATGACACTGGCCCCCACTGTGCAATAGCACAGTCCACCCTACTACCCTAGAGTGTACGTCTTACATAGATTGCATGCAGGGTGCCTAATGCCTATATCACAGTGGGCTATATTCTAACATAATAATACCTATGTCAATTAAATATTTTTTTAGTCATTCACAAGGTACCTGAACTATTTTTAATATAGGTATTATGTTGAGTTCCAAAAAAAATATGGCTCTGTAAATAATGTTTTGGTGAGACAATTAACCCCAAATAGCAAAACCTTAATTAAATATTGCTGGTTTTTTTTTCTATTTGAAAATGAAAAACTATAACATACTGTGTTATTTATTAAAGGTTTTGGAAACCGGAGCCAGTGGCGCATGAGCCTAAAACTGAGGAGTGACTAAAACTTAAAATACCTATTTATAGGTACTTTCACTTTAACCCCCCCCCCCAATTCTGATTTAAACATTGCTGACCACCCCAATGTTAGCCAGTTAAGTAGAAAAGTTTCAGACTTTCTTATTCTACCTATAGAAATAAATACTATATTACTATATACAAAATGAAATAGTTATTTTTAAAAAATTTTTTCTCTTATTTTTTCAAACAAATGTTTTAATCACAAACTAAGTTATAGTGGTATTTGTGGTTTCAATAAATTAGTACAAAAATAAATATTAACTTTATTAAGGCGGTAGGCATAGCATCAACAAGTAACAATATCAGCTACAATATAATGTGTTTCATTTACATATTAATCTAAAATTATTTAACCAAAATAACTGAAAAAATAAAACTACTTATATTATTATACTTAGTGGACTTACCAAAAATATAAATAAGAATTTGAGGTAAAATTAATAATCAAAACTACATAATATTATACAGTTGGTAGTATTTTAACTACAATTTCATTTTATTTCTATAGAAAAAAATGTTCACATAGTATATATCTAATTTTATAATAATGCAACAAAAACATGAAGTAAAGTAATTATGCTCGTGGAAGACTCTTTAAGTCATACAGTACCCATATAGGTATGATCAAGATTGATCCAGATGCAGAACCTCCAATAAGCAATTGTTGCTAGAAAAAAACAATATGAAATAATTGCAATTATTAGTTGTTAACAAAATTCAATCAATAATTAGGTATTTTAGAATGTAATATGTATCATCTAAGGGCTAGTTGTATCATCTCTGATTAAAGCTAACCGGAGTCTAATCGGTCGAATTTGCCCGGTTAAATATATGTTATCAGCTGATTAAGCGTAATCGAAGTTTAGTACAACTGGCCCTAAGTCAAATTAATTACCTAAATTGATGGCTTACATTAAAAAACAAATAACTAATTGTAGTGTTCTTTTAAGATTTAACTACAAAATAGCACATTGCAAATACATACGACAACGGACAAATTACAACAAATACAAAATCTAAGTTGTATCCATTCAACAATTAAAATATTTAACAAGACAAAATATTATATTATGCGAGTATAAAGCAATTACAATGCAAAAAAAAAAGTTTTTACCCATTTTGGCATTCTGACTTGAGGTGGACCGTTAACAGTAATATTTGTTCTCTTGGACATTACTTGAAGGGATTGCTTGGCCATAGGCTGAGCTAATTTCGATAAACCCAACATGATTATAAAGTAAATTGAAGTATTAAAATGTTTAATGTAAAAAAATTTATAGCTTATGAAATTTTAGCCTCCTTCTTCCTTGCAATTGCAAACAAATTTGTAACCTTTACTCTTGTAATAAAAATTTTATCTCTCAAAAAATAAAATCATAAACATACGGTTAACAGTGTCACCAACTGCATTATTATCAAAATCTGCTAAAGTATTTTTTGATAATTTATATTATCAATATATTATCAGATTTATCAATCATCTTATCATCTTGATGCCGAATGTATATTTTTATTTTTAGTTTTTGATGTGCTCTGTGCCCCTGTGCACAAAAAAATTAATTAATACAAACTTAAAATATAAATCTGAAATCACAATGTTAATATTTAAATATTTAAAACACATTGAGAAATTAGAATAAAAATACATTTTTAGTAAAAATTAATAACCTTTTATGTTTTCACTTTTAATACAAATGTCTTTCAATAAAATTACTTTTAAACCTAATTTATTATTTTGAAGTTTATGTTCATATTTTGTTAATAATTGTCTACCATGTCTAACTATTTGACCAGTAGCCGAGTAAATATTAGTTTACTCCAAGAGGGGGCAGCGAAAGATTTAATTTACTTATTGGATAAGTGTGATGGTCCCAAGGTAAAACACCAATTTATTAAGAATTGCCGAGATATAATTTGTATGATTAAACAATTAAAAAATAATATGCAGGTTATAATTTTGGACGAAGGACTCACAAGACCAATAGGTTTGATAGCTACATATAGCCTGTTACGAGAACACGATGTTAAAGAAGTATTTATTCTTAACGATGGCAAGTTAAGTAATTTTCGAGAAAAGGTGAAAAATGTCATATTCATCACAAGACCGTATTTAACACACATGGATATGATATGTGATAATATTCACAAGTACGTGTGCTTCATTACAATCAATTTATTATTCCCTTATTATTGAGTTATTTATTCAAATAATTTAGAGAATATATATCTCACCAATATTTTTTCTCACCATTTTTTTTCCATGTTAAATCATTACATGGGAGCCGAACTGTTTTCACATTGCTTAGCTCCAATTTTCTATGATTAAATAATATCTAACTAACAAACAATTCTAACAATGTTAAGCCTAAATAGTAAATACTGTAGGTTATTTGAATCATTCAACTCAAATAAATATATTATTTCAGGGAAAATCAAGATGATCTCAAACAAAGGGAATACCATTTATTTTTTGTTCCAACTCGTAGCTTATTATGTGAAAAACGTTTAGAAGTAAGTTCTCATTACTAGGTTTAATATTTAATACTATATTGTATGTTTACCAATGTCCTCAACATCAACTTTTAAAAATGGTTAATTAATTAATTATAATTTTTCAGAGAAAAGGAGTTTTAGGAAATTTTGTTCTCATTGAAGAATTTCGGTGTTTTTTATTTCCTTTGGAGAATGATCTTATATCAATGGAAATGAATGATTGTTACAAGGTATTTATTTATATTCTTAAGTCATTAGCTTAATTGTGTGAAATTGTGCCTTGTACATTGTTTGCTTTTGCCAGGTTTATAAGCTTCATTTCAATTTTTTTTTTTTTTTGTAATACATATTGAGCATATTATTTTTTTAATTAAAATATTTTACATTGTTAATGACTTATTGGAGGTTAGACAACACTTAACACTTAAAACTTAACACTTTAAGACTTTGATAACACTTTGATTCTAGTTACCTTTGATGAGAATAGGGTATGCTTTAAAATTATTAATTATTCAAAAAGCCATCCTTAAATTCACAGCTTAATTAAGTTATTTAATATTGACTCTTAATTATTGCAACACTTCCTCAAGTCTTAAATGTGTTTGTTCCTAGAATCCTAGTGGTTTAAAAATTATAATACGGAACTTTAGATATGTAGTGGTACACCCTACATACTGCAAATGACCCACTTATTTATAAGATTTTTAAGAGGACGTCGCACCCGCATGTGTTGTCTCCATCTTACACACGTACAACATAGCAAAATCATAAAAAACCAACAAGAGAACACAAATAATGCTGTTACCTTAAGGTTTCAAAATAGGCCAATTCACTCTAATATCAAAACTAACTGCACCATATTGAAACTAACAAACAAAAATTTGCTATGTCGTAAGTGTGTAAGACTGAGACAACACGCGGGTGCGATATCCTCTTAGTTTTTATTCTTAACACTTTTTTTATACAAAAATTGATAGTTATAAGTGTTTAATATAACTAAATCACATAAACTAATAAATTGAATATCCTTAACAAATATTTTGCAGTTTATTTAATATTCATAATTGTTATAATTGACTATAATAATTTTAATTATTTTTAGGAGTTGTCATTAGAAAATGATCCAACATGTTTATATCGTGTAGCACAAGCAATTGTTAGTCTAGAAGACCTTTATGGGCGCATTGGTCGTGTAACTGGCAAGGGTCCTGTTGTTAAACAAGTTTGGGAATTAGTATCTAAAATATGTTTAGAACCTCGCAAAGCTAATTCTAAAGCAAACAGAAATTATAAAACAATTGATCATCTTGTTTTAATTGACCGCTCTGTAGACTTAATGACACCAATGGCTACTCAGTTAACATTTGAAGGACTTATTGATGAGCTTTTTGGAATTGATTGTTGTAAGTCTATTTTTAATAATAGATTTTATTTATATAATTATTGTGTAATCATATTTTTTGTTTTAGGTACTGTAGAATTACCAGCCGACAAATTTGTTTCTGAAGAAGATAATGTTAACACGTTAGCACGTAAAAAGATTGTATTAAATTCAAATGATGAGATTTTTGCTGAAACTAGGTATACTTTTCAGTGGATTTACAATAAATCACTATAAATCAGTGTTTCCCACCTTTTTGACACTATGGACCACATCAAAAGTTACGGATCAGCGCAATTTTATAGGTTTTTTATAACTACAACCACTTTTATTAGATAATTTTAGATTTTAGGATAAATAAAAATATATGTATTTAGTCTTACATAAATCAGTAGCAGTAATAATTATTAACAATTTATTATTATTGTTCGCCTTCGCCAATAAGAATTTTAACTACCTGGCATCTGATATTCTGATTGCTATCAACCGTTATTCTAACCTCAAATTGGATAAAAAAATATATTTATGCATATTATACTGAATACTAGGCAAACATTTAATTTTGTTTTTTTATATTTTTGATTAAAAAAAATGATGAAAATAGAAAATGTTGCCGACTACCAGTTGGGAAACACTGTTATAAAGATTATAGTTTGTTGAACAAACATCATTAACATTTTTATTGATTGTATTGAAATAGAAATAAACACTTTAATGCAGTATTAATGAATTTAAGTAAAAGAGCCAAACACATTACTTCAGAATATGATGAAAATCGAAGTGGTAAAACTGTTCAGGAAATGAAACAGTTAGTGTCTAGACTTCCTTACATGCTGGCACTAAAAAAACAACTGTCTACATGTAATCATCTCATAATTAATTTTGCTTGGTAGCTATTTATTTAATATATGGATATTTGTTATTGACTAAATATTATTGTTTAATTGATGGGTTGATTAGACACCACAGTTGCTGGACTAATTAAAGAACTAACTGACAAAACTAGTTTTCGGGATTTAATAAATGTACAACAAGAACTGATTTTGGGTATTGAGTCCGACAAAGTATTACCTCAGATAGAAGATTTGATTTCCAATAAATTTGATCTTATAACGGTAATTATAACATCTTCAAAACACACAAGGTCAAATATTTTATAAAACATTTTATACATGTTGTAGGTTTTGCGATTAATATGCATGCAATCTGCTGTAAATTCAGGATTAAAACAAAAAACTTTGGAATATTATAAGAGAGAAATCATTCAAGTTTATGGTTTCAAACACCTTATAACAATGACCCATTTGGAAAATGCTGGTCTCATTAAAATACAAGTAAATGTACTTTAAAATTTAAATTAGAAAATATAATTTAACAAGCATTTGATACAGGCAAATTCAAGAAGTTATGCTGTTTGTCGCCGTCTATTAAACTTAGATGTTTATGAAATGAGCGAAGTAGATCCAGATGATATCAACTATGTTTATGGGATTTATGCTCCACTGAGTGTTAGATTAATTCAACATATTTCCAAGTCAGACAGTAAAATATTGTCTGACGTTTTGCCATTATTACCAGGACCTATTGTAGAACATGTTAATTCTGATGTTGATCAAGGTAATTTATTTATTTACTATTATTTAGATAGGCCATATTCTAATTACAGCAGATATCAGACCAGAGGACTGCCGGATCATGGGATGTATCAGATTATTGCACGGCCATATTACCAAGTGCACTGTACTACAGTGCCACAGTAGCTTGCAACAATAAAATTATAACAGTATTAAATAATAATAATGTTTACGAGATAAAATAAAGAAAATATTCCAATAACTAACTATACTCTATTCTAAATAAGATTGAGAGTCGGCAGCCGAGTTGTGCGCATGGGCGTGGCTTTGTTCCGTGGCAGTGCCTGACGCGTCGCCGTAGTGGGGACGGCATCTGGCCAATTGGCCATATGTCTGACCGCCGCCCGACGAACACTGGTTGCCGCCAACTCCCGATCTTATTTTGAATAGAGTATAGGCAAAGGACACAATATAATGTACAGACAATAATACACATTAAAGAGAAAAGGACAGATTTTTATTAGCTAGACGTATCATTCTGCAAGAGGACTATTAGATAGCTTAGGTAGTCAGCTGGATAAAAAAAAACAAAAAAAACTAGTGGCATAAACTTGTCCTGAGATTAATTTATACAAAAAATATAGGTTGGTTTCGCCTCTATGATCTAGTCTACCTATTGGTAGTCTCAAGTTTTCGAGAACAGGAGTATAGTCATGTGCAGTACCTATGTCATATTCAACAAATTTCAAAAACATAGAATGCAAGCACTCAATTTAAGCACACTAATTTAAAAACCTACGATACTTAAAGTTTGTGAATTTACATTTCTAAAACCCTAGAGTTTTAAATTCTTTACAAGATATATTATAAATATAAGTGTGGAAAGTCAACTTTGAATTGAAGGTAATTCCGAGGTAATTATCATCAACAAAATAGCTTAAGTGGAAAGTAGAAAAAACCTGGATGTACATTTGGACACGTTGATGGATAAGCCAAACATATGAGACTAAATAGCCACAGGGTTAAGATCTTCTGGGGAGGCCAGGCTCTCCTCAGTAGAATTAATATCTAGAAATAATTTAATGCCATCGGCAAAAATTGAAATGAAACTTTAATGTAATAATTCGAGTACTTACTATTTTATTTACAATTGTTGTTATTTTTACAGCGCCTAATAACAGTTTTTTGGTAGACTCTCAAAAAGTTGTGCTCGTGTTTTTTATTGGAGGATGTACATTTGCCGAAATATCTGCTCTCAGATTCTTGTCATCACTTGAAGACTGTAAGTTTCCAAATCATATTTTATCATGTTTGTATGTTAAAAAATTTAATTTCTAAAACTGTTTTCAGCTACAATTGAATATGTAATTGCCACCACCAATATTACAAACGGCAATAGTTTTATAAAGTCATTGTTAATCCCCGAAATCAACAATAGTTTAAATAAGTAAATTACTCAATTCCATTTCTTAGGTATACAATTTAAATTTTATTATTATATTAATATATCCATTGATCATTCATATTATATTGAGTAATAAAATTAGGTACCAATAAGTTTAAAAAAAAAAACATTTTGTTTTAATACCTATTATTTATTATGTATAATAATTGTTATTATTTAATAAAAGATATAAAAAAATTATTTAATTATGTTCGTCCAGAAATGCTTGACAAGACCTCATACATTGTTGAAAACATTTTTCAAATCCTCGAATATCAGTATCATAATATGGATCTTCTATATTAGTTTTCCCAGAGGTCCTTGCTTCTGGATCAAATGACCCTAACATAAATACTTTTGCTTTTGTATTGTCTGATCCTTTCATGCGATTGATAAAGTCCATATTATTCTTATCCATTCCAAAAACAAAATCAAACTTATCTAAGTCTTCCAAACTGAACTGTTGTGCTGAATGCTTGTATTTTATACCGTTGTTTCTCAGTACGGTCATCGTCCGATGGTCTGGTGAACAGCCTACGTGCCATCCCCCTGTACCAGAACTTTCAGCATACCACTTGTCTGCTAGACCTCTTTGCATCACAACATCGTTAAACACGGCCTCAGCCATTGGAGATCGACAAATGTTACCCAAACACACGAACATGACACTACGCTTTTCGCCCATTGCTGTATCGTATTTGGTCGGAAAAAAATTTTAAAAATGTTCTTGTTTTAAAAAAAAACTACAAAATGTACCGTGGCCCGTGTGTTTCTGCTGCAGACGGTGATTCCACAGACGGCAGCAGTGAGTTAGTACAACACAGCACTGAAACTGAACACGATATCAGACTAACCGTTGAGTTTGTACTTTGCATTCACACGATCAATATTAATTGGTAGGTAATTATTCGTAATGATAAATGTAAAATCGCTATTATATAATAAATAAAAAAGAACAACCTAATAAAATAATTAATACTAAATAAGCGTAATAAACTTTTATTATAGTTTTTAGTTTTGACCATTCACGTTATCACAATTCACCTCCGTGGTTTCGTAATTCCGTTATCTCAGGCTCTCAGCTCGCTCAGAAGTCGGATTGACGAAATTACGACTTTACGAGAAAGAGTTGGAGGCTGTGGAACTGCGACTGCGCCAAATGTATATCATAATATTGTGATCAGTGATCAGTGATTCTTTTATCATTATTCATTGAACACTCTTGTTTCAAGAAGTGTAAATATGTTTTTGAAAATATTTACAATATTTACATAGTTTCAAGTCTTGTACTAAAGTACAAAACCACGTTCTTATTAAAAAATTATATTTTCAAAAATTTTTTATCCTTATAAGTTTTTACTTTTTTGAATGATAACAGAGTTTTAACTTCATATTCCAAAGCAGAGTATTTTAGAAACAAGTATTTTGAAACATAAAAATCGAGTTTAGTTTATGAGTTATAATTAGTATTTGAAGTATAGATAAGCAGAGTAGTGGACAATTTTTTCTCTAGGTAACCCGTACCACACCACTTCGCTCATCAAAATATATTTTATAACTCATAAGCTACTGGCCTAAATTCGATTTTTATGTTTCAAATTTGGAATAAAGCACAATTTCCTTTTAAAAATGCAAATTTGATCATAATTTTTCTACTTTTTTAAATTAATAAAAAAAATTAGTACATTTCTGTTGTAATTGCGTATGATGGTTGATAGGACAATTAAATAACTTTAAAATAAAAAAAAATTATGCCAAAATGTTGAAAAGTTTTGAAGATCCATGAACAAATGCGTGATATGTATGGTTTTGATAAAAAAAAGTAGTTAATAACCCATAATTTAAAAAAATAAAAAGTTAGACCCAATCTTTAAAAGGTATTTCTTCATCATTTTTGGTATACTTTTATATTATGACTTCGGCCGGTCACTTCACCCCGGAACACATTGCATAGCAATGAGAACTTTTTTTAAAACTATTGTCAATTAATAATTTTAAGTTCAATCATAAAATTGAAAATTAAATAGAAGGTTCCTCATAATTTGTTATTATAGTTCAACGAAAAAATAAAATTATAGTAAATCCACAATAATTTTTTATGAGCTTCTGAAGTTAGAATAAACAACTAACCGAACATAGATACTTGAAATCTTCACCAAATATGAATTAAATAAATATAGATTTAAAAATATATTACCTATTTTTGAGCTATCTATAGACATTTCATATTTTTTTCATGTTTTTTTTTTCTATAACAATCGTTACAATTTTTATCGCCTTAAATTAACTTGAAAGATAAAATAAATATTTATCGCCATCCACAATCTGTTGAGTTGGTATTTTTATTCTCAAAAGCTCAATGTAAAAAATACATAAAAATACATGATCCAGAACAATCCAAATGCTGTCTTATTTTTACCAAGCCAAGGTTAAAATATAGGTATGTACTTATATTGCATTTACTAGAGAGCAGTGTTGTAAAAAATACTTTTCAAAAGTATTTAAGTAATTACTCTGTTTAAGAAATAGTCTTCAAACACAAAAAAAAATTATTTTTACTTTTTAGTTCTGAAATAATTTGTTATAATCAAAAATTTGTTTATTGCATTTTAAAAACATGATTTATTCAATAGGTAATCAAAATTCTGATCATTCTGAACTTTTCTCTACAAAGTTATATATTAATTTAAAGCTATATGTATTTGGATATCTCATACTGTCGTCGACGATAAACAATAATGATAATTATTGATAAAAATGTTCTTGGTAAATAGATAGTGACAGTTGATCGTAGTAGGTACTAATAAATAATAATTACCTAATAATAATAGCCGATATGTAGAAGCTTTTTACACATTATATATATTTTTATTAACTTAAGCTAATAGTGATACAGACTACAGATGTATCTTTTCGATCTTCGTTGACAATAAACTGTCTTCTGGAGAAAAAAAACATTTAATTGACGAAAACTAAATTGTCTGTAAGGCATAAATGATAAACATATAATATTGTTATAATGTTAAAGCAAAACCACTACGGCAAGGTATTTTTATTTAACAAGAATATAATAAGTAAAAACAAATTAAGAATAAAAAAAATAAAAAAAAAGGTACCCATTCAATAGTAAAAGAAAGTATTTAAAATACCGTTCAAATACTTCAAAATAAAAAGTATTCAATTCAATACGGAAAAAAGTATTTGAATACTTTTACTCAGATACTTTACAACACTGCTAGAGAGCCTATATACTTAGCCACCTAAGATCTCTAGCAGAAACTATGTCATAATATATGTACTTACTACTTATAATTTATATTGCATATACTATGCGCCACGCAATAAAATTGAGCGAAGTATTTAAAATAATATAACATTATGAATATTTATATTTTATATACACCTCATATTAATTATTGCATTAGTATCTACGCCAATTTTTATCGGAGCCTGTTATTTTACTCTAGAATATATAGATGTTAAATATTTTACTTTATTTATGATTATAATATTCACTTTAATATAAAAAAAATAAAATGGCATACATGTGATAGGTTTCAAGATTTTATGTTTAGCCAGTGAGTAACCTTTCACTTTTAGATAGAAAGATATTATCGTTTATTTGTAACCGAATTCAACCATTCATAATGGTTTTTCTTATTTTTTTTTTGGTTTTCCCGACGCTTTAAAAAACTACTGGGAATACTTTACTCTTGAACCCCCAAATTACCAACTAGATTCACTTTCCTACCATAAGATATGGTTAAGTAGAAAATCAAATCGTTCTACTGCCCCAAAAGGTGATGACACACACAAAAGAAAATAATATATACATCATTGTAAAATCAATAGATGCATCGTTCCGTTCAGAATCTAAAATTATAAACCATGTTCAGATTACTGTTCTGAAATAGGAAAAATGTAAATGTTTTATGTGAATTGTATAAAAAATGTCACTCAGTATTCTGGAAAACTATTGAGATTTTACACAATTATTTATAAAATCTGTTTAATGCGTTACACTGTGTTTGCATTTTACAAACAATATAAATAAACAGAAAATATGTGAAAATTAATTTTAAATGGAAAATAAGTTAGTCATGTAAAAGGACCTTTTTCAACAGCAGAAAATTATTTTATTATAAATAAAAATGTTACAAGGTGTAATAAATTACACATGATAATACAAGTATCTATAGTTAAGTATGGTATTATAATTTTAATATTTTAATTTGTCTAGTACATTAGCCATTAAGAATGATAAACCGATGGAGTGTATTAGAATGAAATGTCATAGTCTGAGAACTTCATTGAGTTTATCCAGGGCCAGCCTAATAAAAAAAAAAACAAACAAATTGTTGAATTTGAATAATAAGAATAAATAAAAAACATCAGATTTGCAAATTACAAATATTTCAACATACTTTGCCTGTGGATGAGACTTATCTATTTCCATTGAAACTAATTTCGACTGGTTTAAAAATGGTGTTAATTCTTTAGGGGTAGTGTTTCCATACGACAACCATGAACTAGGTATCATACGAGCAATCTAAAACCGTTAACATTTTCAATGATTTAAATGTAATTTGTCTATTAAATGTTAATATAAATGTACCAATGTAATTTTCAAAATAGCTTCTAGTGGCTGTAACGTTCGGACAGATGTTAACAAATATCTGTTGAGTATTTGATTTATGGCTAAATCTATTAACACAACGTCTTCAATAATTCGATGCCAAGTCAGTATATTGCCCAGTAATTTTACAGCCATGTTAAACTGTCTTTGAAAAAATACATTCATACGGCCAGTATTCATTACTCTGAAAGAAAAATTATTTTTAAATCAGACTTTATAAATGTTTAAATTTACTCACTGTCTAGAGGATATTGGAATAAACACGTCATAATCAACCGCATCTCGTATTCTATCCACTATATTGGTCATCAACATCATTAATAATTTACTATCTGGATCAATAGTTGGGTACATGTCCAATATATGCTTCACAATACTACAGATATGTTTGGTCTGTTTTGATGACAATGGATCCCACTGACTAGTAACCATTTCTATAAATTAAAAAGGAATCATTTTTTTTAAATGTTAAAATATTTTGGTAGAAAGCATACATACGGTCAATTTTAATGAGCACAACTTTTTCTATTATCTTGGGGATTAATTCTAAATCAACATCTTTTATCAACTGATCAACATTATTATTTCCTTTCATCGTATACTTTTGCATACTTTTATACCAAAACATATCTTCCAACTTCAGATCATCCTATAAAAATTACACATACAATGTATAAACAGTAGTGAAAATAGGATTGTTTAATTTCTATCAAAATGTATATAATCATTATAAAATCAAGAAATATAATATTATGGATTGTAAAGATACAGTAAAACCAATATTAAAAGGAATTTCATCAACTAAAAGAAAATGTATGATTTCATGTGTAAGGCACATTGGAATATTTAAATATATATTTTAAATGTATACAAAAATTAATATTCTCAAGTTTTTCATGCACAAAATGGGTTACATAGATGGTCCATTTTGTTATTAAAAAAAATGATTGTTACAATTTTTATGGGAATGTAAGGCAAATACTTGAAATAAATAATTTTACTGTATGATTGCAATTGTAAAACTCGAATTTCATATATTATACTTCTAA